TACAGTAGAACCTCGATTATCCGGACTAATTGGGGATGAAGGTAGTCCGGATAAGGAAAAATCCGGATAATCGAAACAAATACTTTAATTTGTCTTTTAATGATAATACAACACATTTTCTTTTCAATGACATATCGGTAATATTAAAAATAAATATTGTATTTAAATCGTGATCAAATTTTCAAGAAACAAACATTCGTTTTGAATTTAGACTACTACTGACCAACACTAACAGACTACTTGTTTAAAAGGCCCTCTGGTGGTGCAAGAAGACAGATTTTATAAAATAAAAAGCAGTTGAAACTGCATTTTTATGAATAAAAATTTGACAAACTATTTATCGTTTTATGACGAGTAAAACTTTTTTGTTGCGTTCGTGGCTTTTAAGTAATGCATAAACCTTCGAGGCACAAGGCCCTTCGGACCGCGAGGCATAGGTGGTGACCCATGTTGCCCATACGCCGCCCTTGGTCATAGGAATGATGTAATTTGAATATAAATTATTTATAAATACATATGTCAAGTTATATTTTTATTATGACGCAAATATATTTAAGGGTTTACGACCACTGTGCTAGGTGAGACGTTGTTAAAACAAAAAAAGTTATGCATTCCATCACGTACATAAACAGTATCATAATTCACCAAGTGCAAATCAGAAAATTCGTAAAATTTTTGCTTATTTTGAACAATCCAGATAATCGAAAATCCAGATAATCAAGGTTCTACAGTAAATATAAATTACATATATTTGGAACAAAATACAAAAATAACCATTTTACTTCAGTACAGGATGATAGATAAGTCTATTAAATTTTGACTTTTTTTTTTTAGCTCCTTCCATTCTGTAGGTACTAAAAGATCATATTTAGCAAGCCCATTATGGGTATGGCCAGGCACTCAATGAGGCAACTGGATGTGAAAGGCAGGCCCAACATATCTGGACAGAGCACCATCAAAAAATTCCAAGGGTCTTTTGACCCATCTAGTGTTGATTCTAAATCCCCAGAGTGATATGCTACCATCTTAACTATTCAGCCATCCAACTGTTAAATTTTAAGTGTTGAAAGTATTTGATTCTAATTCCCTGCATAGAAGCCATTTCATAATGTTATTCAATAGAGAGATGTGTTGGCTTTGTTCCAAATTAGAAGTAGTTGTTGTTATTATGATGATAAGCTAACAGTCAAAAACTAAACTTTGTTACTTTATTACAAACACCTGATGAGAAACAATTGTTACTGCTTCATAGTAGCTCTTTAATACTTACTACAAACAAATAATGAACTCAAAACTATTTGGCTTCATTTCAGTTTTAAGAAGTTTTAAAAGATACTCTGTAAAAGAATAATGATTGTCTGTCTAAACAGACTACAGTAGAATCTCATTTTAACAGATTATGGAATAATGGATTTTTCTTCAGGTCACATCAAATCAATGTAATTTTACCTCTTTTTAGTGGATCCATAACTCTAAATAACAAATTTTTTTCTAGCTCCATCTTTGGTAAACATCATATTTTTTTCAACCTTTAATTAATAATTAGATGTTTCTGGATACTGAATTTGAAAAAATACATTGCACACTGTGCAAACTAGAGCATAATCATTGCAGTTCTCACTGCTAACATTGCAGCCATACATTAGTGTGCTCCTGTAGTGTGTTGATTAATGGAAGGAAACTATTTTTGGCTTAACACTTCTAGATATGTGCATCTGTGCAACAAAGGTGTGCTGCTCCTTTGTTGGGGACACGTGTTTGGGAATATCACACTTCAAAATTGTGCTCATACAACAGTAAAATTTTCTATTGATAATGCCACCAAAAGAAGCCCAGAAATGTTACATCATCACAATGTCATCAAAGCAAACCAAGATGGACAAGTTCTTTAACATATTGTGAAGTGCTAATAATCATATGTACTTTGTTGCTTTTTGGCTTGTAATGTGTCAGCTTGGTATGGCATAACATACAATCTTGTAATACAGGGTGGCCAACGAAAACGAAACGGCAGAGTTATCGTGTTCGTCCAAGCAAATCGTTCGGACAGGTCGATTTTATTCTTAAGGAGGACATCTTCTTCAATAAAGTTTTTGCGATTCTGAATACAACAGACAACAAAAAATTTTAAAAACTCATTCATTTTTTATTAGCTAAACAAACATTTATTTCAGAAAAAAATGAATGAGTTTTTAAAATTTTTTGTTGTCTGTTGTATTCAGAATTGCAAAAACTTTATTGAAAATGATGTCCTCCTTGAGAATAAAATCGACCTGTCCAAGCGATTTGCTTGGACGAACATGATAACTCTGCCGTTTCGTTTTCGTTGGCCCACCCTGTATATTAATGTGTGTTTATATAAAATAAAGGCTAGAAACCTCAAAAAACTGAATAATTTTGAGTACAGGTGGTTTTTACATAGAGGATTTAGAAAATGAAACCTTTTTCGAACAACAGATATTTTCCTGGGAGTGTGAGAAATCCATCGTTTGCAATGTAACAAATTTTCAGAACAACAAATGATTTTTGGCACCCCAAGCAATCTGTTAAAATGAGATTCTACTGTATTTTAAGGCTAATCAGAAAAATAATTACAGTTAATTATTAACAATTTTCATAGACGTCATCTCATAGTTCATCATTTAAAGATTCAATGAGTAAAATTAAAAATTTTTTTTAATATCAGAAATTACATATTTATCAATAATTATCGTATTTCTTAAAATTAGATTTATCCATTAAAATTAACTATATACTTGTCTAGTATAGAGATGCCAATAAGTTAAATGCTATATATATAGTGTTTTATTTTCATGTATTTAAAAGTATCATCAATATGCAATATATATAGAAGCATGTATGATAACAATTTAATGTAGAATTCAATTTTTTAAATTTAATTTTGAAAAACAACATATTTCAGGAACAGAATAATTTACATAAGAAGAACATACACTTTTCCATTTATGTAAATTTAGTATTATTGGTTTTTAAAAATAAATTAATAATGTTATATAAAAAAATCATTATACTTTTATGATATCTTCAATCATTGCATCAATTTTCATGGCCCATAATTAAAATTTTATTAGTTTTTTTGGGAGATCTAGATTTATTTTCTAGTGTATTTTCAAAAAATAAAACTACTAATTAATAAGTCATTACTAGTCAAGATTTCACAGGTACTCATAGATATTTGATATTTCAAACAATTATTAACTGAAAGTAAAGGAAGAGAAATACAGTGTAACAGTATTGCATTAGTAAATACTATGAGATTGTTTTTGCTTATAACTATAAAATAAATTATAATTAAAGCTCTAGTTTTTGATATGCAAAAANCTAAAACAATTAGAAGTTAACATTAAACATTTTTTCCATAAATTGATGATTAATGCGGAAAAAAACTTTGATAAATTTATAATGAAATATAGTGTGTTTTCTATTTTTAGAATACAAATATCAATTATATGTTCAATATCTCTCAAATAAACCAAATTAGAAAAAATTATCTGAAAAATGTTTTTAAAAACTGAAGAAATAACATTAAAAGTACTTGAATGTTTCAATAAAATTGTAAGTTTATATAATTAATGAAAAATATGTAACAGATTATGTAACAGTGTGAACAATGATGAAAGGAATAAAATCTAAACCTAAAATTAATTCTTCTCAAATTTGAGTATTGTTGAATAATTTGTCTATGCTAAATCAATAAAGAAAATCAAAAAAGAAAAAAATATTCATCAACCTAACATGAAAAATAAACACAATAAAATTCACTTATTGTAGTAACTTTGGGACTGACCTATATACAATTATAACAATAAACTTAAATCATTATAAGACCAGTTAGTGGAAATTATTATTTTGTTGTCTAACATGTCTAACAAAAAACAAATATTAAAACAATTTTTAAAATGTATAACTAAAATATATCAATTATAATAATTCATAATTATGGGAGGGCATGTCATGACCACTGAAGCTGTTAGCACTTTTCCTCTTGAACTTCAAGAATATGCAGTAAGTTTGTGAACTTGTGTTTTATCAATTAATTTAAATTATTAAAAAGGAAATAATATTTAATTAGTTTGTTTTCTTTTCAAGTAAAATCAAATCCCTTTAAATGCAACGATCTCCAGTAAAGCATGGAAGACTTCCACTGAATTTCACAAAATTGGGTAGTAGAAAGGACCAACCTGCTTTGACTAACACCAAACTTATAACAGATTTTAATTTGTATGTGAACAAAGATTCACAAGAATCGCCTTCAGCTGGCATTGATCCTCATATGGAAAAAGATTTACAGAGTCTACAGAAATCTTCAGGCAAGTTAACTGAATTATGTTTTACTTCACCAACTAATCCAAGTAAATCATTAGACAATCCTTAGACACTAAATATTTTGTTTTGTAAATAAATATACAGTTAAAAGTATAGATTCTCAACTCAGATGACAATGTCTACTTTGCTAAAAGTTGGAGATATACAGACCTAACTTCTTAGGGAAGAGAGACAAGGCAAAAAAGTGTGGAAATAGACCAATTTAGGATGTTCAAGGACATAGTAGTGAGAAAGTTGGAGAAACTACTAAAAGGGCTTTGTGGAGGTAAAAACTCCAAGCAAATGAAAGAATATATTGTGTATACTTAAAACTTGAGTATAATCAGATCAAAATTATAATTATGAGATGATAAAAAAAATTTCAATCTTATTCAAAACTTCAAATTGTTTTTAATATAAAGTTTTAAGCAATTTTTATCTATTATTATTATTATGTTTTTATCTATTATTATTATTATTATTATTTAATGAGTTATACTCGGTTGATACCCGTCACTGTGTACTATTATTATTATTAAACTATTTTTTATATTAAAATTTTCTTTAACATGACTATAAATCATTGTAATAAAAGCAAAAAAATAAATGGAATTATTTGGTGAGTGAACAAATTTTTAACAGTTAAAACAACTGTTAAAAATTTGTTTATCAATTAATTTCAGATGTAAGAAGAGACTATTCAATCTCAAATGTGTATGAGTTGTTCTCTAAGATGTATTTATGTAAAATTTTCAATGATTTGATCCAATAAAATACTTGCCTTTCATCCATTCTAAAGAATAAGCTTTACGACAACTTTTATTGATACAATGAGATGTGTAGAAAGTTCCATGTGCTTCAATTAATTTCTCTTCAGGAATACCTGCTACTCTTTCTAATGTATCAATATTCTAAAAATTAAATATTTTAAATTATAACATAACTAAATACAGATTTGAAACTTTTTCTTATAACTATCAGAAAAATTGTTATAAACCAAAACCTGGTTTTACAATAAAATCATACAGCTATTTTTAAAAAGAAATATATTAATCACTATTATATGCTTATTAGCTATATTACTTAGCTAAACATTTTTGAATAATTAAAATAATCATTTATGCTTATAATATCCAATAGTTAACCTTTTTAAATTTCAAAATTAATAAAACAACATAATTTAATCCAATTGAGGTACACTCACTCAGCAGTATGTAAATCAAAAAAACACACCACCTAATTTGCTGAGGAAAATTTAATGAAAATCTTTTCATTAAATTTTTCTCAGCAAATTAAGGTGATGTGTTTTTTCGATTTTTTAATTTAATACATTTTTCATTTTCAATAAATTGATAAATAATGTATAAATGTTTGAATAGTTTTATAAAATGTTGTAAGTGATTAATAATTTTTCTTACAGATCATTATATGCATAATACTTTGATTGAAATTAATAAAAAATATTGATAATTAGTGTTAATGACTTTTACTGACAAGTCAAATTACAATTTTGTTTGTGGATAAAAGAACATATACTATATAGTGAGTTATTTTTTTGTTTTTTTTTTCTTTAAGGTTTAAATTTTATTGACTTATATTTATCAATTTATATATAAGTGATGTGAATCAAATCCTGGCCCATCATCTTGCATTCTCCCTTCCTTCCTACTTTCAAAGTCTCCCAGATTTCTATCTAACAAAATTTGTTAGATAGAAATCTGGGAGAAATGCTGGTGACTTCACATGACAAACATTGTCATTTAATGACAGAGCAGTTTGATATAATTTTGTTGAAACTGAAACTATCATCAAAATTTGACTGGTTAAACAATTTGAGTGAAAAATTTGATAAATATTTAACTAACATTGTCAAGAAAGTGGACGAGCTTGCCAAACTCAAGTTATTCTTTTCAAAATTATTTTTCTTTTTATTTGTATCTTTTGGACACTTTAAACAATGATGTTAAAAAGAAAAATAGTGTTAGCTGGTTTTCAGGGAAGTGAATCCAAAATTCTGAATGAAGTATTGGAATTATTAAAATCTGTTAATAACATAATGGAAATTCTATCTTCCCAAAAAGTTGTTACAAAACACCAAGAAATAATTTGGTAATTGAGAAATTAGAATCCAAAACAGACAAAAGATTGTTTCTCAAGAATTTAAGAAGCATTTGTGTGAATGATAAATCTTTACTTACTAAATAAAAAATTGGAACTAATATAAAGTTTAAATATTTCAGTATTTATTTTTCATCTCATGGTTCATTTTCTCTTCATTTAGAGTAAGTATATATTATTAGATTCAAAACTAAAATTGTCTAATATTATAAAACTATTAATTAAAATATAAAATTATTTTTTGTTAAAAATTATTTTAGACTTTTTGATTCAATAGTTAAATTGAGAATAAGCTATATGTTCTCAATTTGAGATGCTAACTTCACAAAAAAATTAGAAAGGATCCAGTTATAGCTTTTTACATAAATTTTCCATTTGAATTGCTCAGTTGCTACTCTTGAATATACCTGAATTGTGTAGACTACCTGTTGTTATTAGTTTAATTCAAGGCTGTGGAGTCGGAGTCGTGGAGTTTTGGTGTTTTAGCTGGAGTCGGAGTCAGAGTTGTCAAAAAATCCACCAACTCCGACTCCTTTTTTACTTCCCAACTTGTTATGTATATAAAACGGAAAAGTATTGGAATTGTGTCAAATTTGACCCTCCAAGTTTTTTTGCAATCTACACATTTGGAGACCTCCCAAACCCCTCAAAAAAGTCAATATAAGTTGAAAAAATTTGCACGCATGTGTGTGTTGGCATCTAATTTGTTTAATTTCTTTATTTTCTGTTCTGAGATATTAAACAATATCTCAGAATGGGTAAAGTTTAAGAAACGAAATGTGGCACTGTAGCTTGCATATAAAGGGGCATTAATACTATTAAAAAATAAATAAAACTCGTCTCTATCCTCAAAGTAAGCTTTTTTTGTCATTTTATAATAGCACAGTAAAACCTGTTAAGATGTTCTCGCCTAAGATGTTAGAATGTATATGGGGACATGATTTAGTTCAACCACTTTGACTTAATAACTAACTCCTGTTTTGTTTTCTGAAACCATGTTTTAGTATTCAGAAATACTAAAACATGGTTTCAGAAAACAAATCAACTATGAGTTATTGGTTATAGAAACAGCAAATTCCATCAAGAAAAGAAAAATAATGTATACAGTTCAACAAATGAATACTACATACATCGCAAGGATACAAGTTGACTGGTGAGGGGCTAAGTGCCCGAAACGTGTAGAAGTACCTGTACAAACTGAATAAAGATGGAAAAAAGCAAAGTGTTTAATTAATAACACAATCTTGTGTTTAACAGTCAAAAACTAACTCATGTGTTAACCATCTGACTACGATTTAAAAACCACAGAAATTATTAGGCTTCAAACAGGGTAAACAAAATTATGCCCCCCAAACACACATCCACACATATAGAAAAAACCTCGAATCTTTTGCATATCTCGAAATTTCAAGGTGTCAGAGTCCAAAAATGTAAAAATTTGGGAGGAGTCATTTTTTGACCGAGTGCTACACTTTCCCTCTGTTATATATAACATCCAGAAAAGTAAAAATTATCGAATACATATTTATATATTACTTAGAGGAGTCTTTTATCTTTGGAATAAAAAGTTTCTACGTTCTATCTTTATTAGAACTCTGTTTATTGAATCTTTTACTCTGAGGTCACATGATGACATCAGAATTTCTGGGTCTCTTTCGGTAACATGTCCGCCCTTGGTCGGAGTTGGATGGTAAGGAAAAGTTGGAGTTGGGGTCGGTAGATTTTTACACGACTCCACAGCCCTGGTTTAATTAGAGTTTACTTTGCTTTCAGTTTAAAATTCTTGACCAACCATAAAGTGATTTTAAGAAATTTGTTTATAACAAATTAATGTTAATTCATAAAAAATCAACTATAAAGGTATTTATGTTTAAAAAAAAATAGTTGGTTTTTTCAGATATTTATTAATCTCAGCTTTCAGATGATAATCTCTTCTCTGTTAAGTTACTACAATCATTAAATTATAAAAATTGGTTATAGGACAGAATGTACAATGAATGGAAACACAGTATAACTGCATAATTTTCTTTTCTGCATTGACTTGCATCATCATCTGTAGTTCCAAAATACACTATATAGTCAAATCACTAGTGATACAACTCTGTTTGAATAAATATACTATCTTTTTGAATGGCTTTAGATTAAATATTATGAAGAATACTAAGTTTTCTTTTTGTGATTTGATAGTATAAAAGATTAAGAATGATCTATTTATTTCATGTGAATTGTTGTGAGCATTCAAAGAAATTTTTTTTGGATTGCCAGTCTTGTTTATATTCTTTGATTGATGATAACTTAAGTTTCATAACATTATAAAAACTTTACATGTTTTTCTTTATTCTTTAACTTTGTTAAAATAGTCTTATCATCTTACAAAATTTGTTTAATGATAATACATGAATTATGTTACTTTATATAATATGTAATGTTTTATGAATAAGACACATGTTTAAGATACATTTTTAAAGGCATTATCATATTTCCATAAAATATTAAAAATAATATAACTTATTATATCATTAACTGAAATAATACAAAACCTCACTAACCTGAGTATATAATCTTAATAATAATCCTTTATCATGAAGCAACTTCAAAAAATAATGGCTAGGAGTTGGCTGCATAAAATAAATTCAAACAAATCAAAAATTTAAAAATTAGTGATAAAATATATACATAAAGTTTTTATAATGTTTCTTTTTCATAGAAACATTAATTAAATATGTCAATTTTATTGAATTAAATTCTGATTTAACTTTAAATAACAACAACAACAGGATAAATATTAAAGATGTGAGAACCCAGGCTAGTGTAAATTTGACAATTTCAATCTTAATTTTTGGTCTAAAAAAATGGGGAGAGAGAAGTATTCCATTTCACAAATGCAGTCAAGGAACTTCATAAGGTTTCCCACAGATAGCACTTCCTCTGTAAGTGACAGAGCTTCCAAAAACTACTCATCGAGAGAAATGAGAGGAAAATCACAGATTGGAGCAACTGTCAACTTTTCCAAAAATGGGCATTAAAGTGGCAGGGGTAGGACCCTGAATACAAAGTAAGAGGACAGATGACGACACAGAGTTTACCTGCCTAAATTGTGTGTGTTAACTTCCTTGCTGTCTTTGACTGCCACTCTTCCCAAACTCCTGTCAATTTTTTCCACTGGACTTTCACTGCTCCTCTTCATGAACAAGTACCTGAATGTTACCAACAAAACAAGACCCTTCTTGACCCAGACCAAGTACTCCCTTCTTGAAAAGTCATGATCATCACCACTAACCATCCAGGTATTTATCAACTTATGTCCGAAATTGTAAATGCTCTCTCTCTCAGTTCAGCATACTTTTAGGAACAGATTCTCCCACTAATTCTATTCCCTTGTAAAATTCTTATAAACTTGACTAAATAAATTGTTGTTATAATGGTTTGATGCATAGTGGAGTGTGATATTTCCAGCATGCTGTCTCTTGACTACCTCCTCTATCCCAAACCTGTTCGTTCTCATACAAGTCTGCTTGCACAAAACTTATATACGAACGTAACTATCACAAAGGAAAAGTATGAATAATATGTGACTTTGCACATTGTCATATATTATTCATATTTCTAACACCACTGTGTCTTTTTGGGTAGACACAGAAACCTTTTTGTGCAAGCGGTCGCGTCTGTAGGTGCTTGGACTCTGAATGGAGAGGGCTTGAGCAAAAGAAGTGCACTTTTCAACTCGATTACAAAAAATAATACCCATTTATTGATTATATAAACTATTTACACATATACATAGGATAATAGAGAGTTCCATTGTAGCTTTTATATAGCATCATATAATGGATAAGGTTTATATAGCATAACATAATTCATTAGGCTTTATACTAATAGGTACTGTTTTAATGGGTTCCTAGCCAAGAGAGAGAGAGAGAGAGCTTACATTTTTAAGCATGATGCTAAATACCTTGATCGACTGAATCAGCTTGATCGAAGTCTTGGGGTTGCAAAACGTCCTGATGACGGGGTGGAGAGGTTTCAGCTAGGTTGGACAGAGTTAGGCTTCTTGAGAAATTAGTTCACTATCAAATGTTCGTTGCTAAGGCATCTACAGTGAACAACAATTGAAGGGATTGGCAATGGAGCACAGTTAAACTACACTCACATGAAAGGGAGGTGAATCAGTGAATTCTGTGTCTTCATCGGACACATTTTTTATTCTGGAGGTCCTCCCCCTCACTGTTCATGCCTTTCTTTGGGCCATGTTACCATTTTCAACTAATGGTGAATATTTGTTTGTTAGTTCCCAGTGATGCATTTGATGTGTCATCTGGAAAGGAAGTGACTCTGGGGAGAAAGATGTGATTATCCTCCGGTAATTAAATTGAAATTTTTTGCTGGGATTTAAACCAATTTAAGAAAATTTTGTTTTCTCCAAAATTTTCATCAAGTCTGGGCTCTCACAAATATACTGTATTTACTCAAATATAAGACAATCTCGCATATAAGATGAGGTGTCACTTTAAAGATCAAAATAAAGAAAATTAGATTTATTATTACAATTCTAATTTTATTTTGTTTAATCACAAATAAAATATCAAATGCATGTAAATGCACACATTGTCCAGCAAAAATTACTAGCATTTTAAACTTTAAGGAAAAATCTTGTAAAATTGGCAACATAATTTGTTCATGTAAAGCTGGATAATTGGGAGTCTTTTTTGCCAATTCGTAACAGTCAAATCCATTCTCTGTCAATTACATTTATGATTTTCTCTGAATTCTGATTTCCAAATAATCATGTTTTCACATGGAAATGAATTAAAACTTATGTCGGGCTCCCATGTAAAATTCAATTCAAAAGCTTTCTTTTCCTATTGCTATTCATCTTTACTCCTGACAATACACAAGAATGATTCAAACGACCCAGATAAAATACTTTTGTTTTTAAACACCAGAAGGTGAGAATCTGGTAAAAAAAAAAAAATGCAAATACACAGTTTTCAAAAATTATTGCAACAATGAAAAGAATCCTTCACTTGCAGGTTTTTGAAGCAGTGAAAAATGAATAAAAACCTCGTCTTATGAGAGTAAATACGGTAAATGTAAAACATTACATAAAGTGATATTCCAAAAATATAAATTACAAAATGGCTCTCAAATGATGCAGAGCAACTTTCCTCAAAAAGTACAGGAAGTGTCTTTCTCTAAAAAGTTTTCTTCTTATCCATTTCAGGTTTTTTAGTTAACATTTTTTATATACTACCTTTAATTTCACACTGTAGTCATCAGATATTTTTAAATGTTTACTTTTAAATGTTTTAATGTGTTAATGTTAAATTATTTACTTTCATTTATAGATTGAGTATTTTGTTTATTCCAAAGATTTTCAATAATGTTCACACTATACAAGATTTATTATAGAATTTATAATTTTGCTTATTCTGCTGTACCAAAACTTTTAAAATTATATTTTAATTTGTGTATTATTTAGTTACAGATATTAGTGAAAAGGAAAATCTATTGTGATTACAATATAAACCTGAAATTATATTCTCAAAATGTAATTTTTTAAATTTTGAAATTTTTTCACACACAGAATTGACACTTTTATTCCAATGGCTTTAAAATGACCCAGATCATATATTTATATTATTATTCAATTCAATAACTTTGTTTCATAATGAAGTAAATAAACATTAATGTAACTAACTTCTAATTTTAGTGAACAACACTGAACTAGATTATTTGATTATATTCAAGTAAATATCTTTAATTACCTTAAATTTTCCTGGATATAATTCTTTGGCTAATTGGAAGAATGGCTGAGGATTTTCCTAAAAATTAATTAAGTATATGATGAAATCATATTTAAAAAGAAGTAATTTATTACTAACATAAAAATTATCATCTAAAACTTTAGTTTCTCACTCTTAAAACATTTCTGCAATATATTTATCATTTGTCTTTTTTTCATATAATTTAGCTAAGTCAAATCAAGTCAATCAATTTGTGTTAAAGAAACTTTTGTATACAAAAATTTTAATTATTTAAACAAAAGAAAAGTAGTTTATTTTGACAAGATTTTAGCAGAATAAGCATTTTTATATATGGTTTAGTGGATAAAATTATTTTCTAAAACCTCACGTTTTTCTTAAGTTATTATAAATTTAGATACAATGTTGGACTAAATATCTGGCAAGTTTAGGACTGGAAATGGTCTGGATTTCTGAATTTTCCAGTTTTCTGAACATAGGCTAAATATGTACTTAAAATATAAAATAAACAATGCAATTATATTTAACAGATAGAAATTTAATATACTTCTACAGTAGAATCTGTCAGATCATTATTAATCCTCTTAAAATAAAAAATACTATGCTTAGTGTAATATTCATAAATAATGAAAATTAAAGAACAATTTTATTTAACATCTTTATTAATCTACTTAAAATTCTTCTGGCATCTTGCAAGGTGTATACCATAGAAACTGAAACAATGCAGCTGCATAGCAAACTATTTTTTGTGTGGCCCTCCAAAAATAGATGGTTTTCTGGAAGCCATATATTTGGTCCAATATTGTTTATATAAATTTACAATAAGTGTTTGAATAAATCAGAAATACAGATAATCTTGAATTAAAATACAACCCCTAGTCAAAAATACAGAATACTGTTATAAATTCCTGCAATTTAACATTTAAAAGGCAAGTTTTAAAAAATATTTTATGTCTGCTGGTTGATTGCATGTGTAAATTTTGATGGATATATTTACATAAGCATGTGTTAAAACGATATCAATTTTATGCATTATAAAAAAAAGTATGATTCATTTTACTAATCAGTAACAGAGATAAAAATATGAAATATTAGCATAGCAGAGACAAAAGTTTAAAATATAATAGTTCCATAGTAAAATGAATTCAGTGATACTGTTGTGTAATATCACATTCTGAGATTGAATCTGCAGAATTGTAATTGTGTTTTATGTTTGCATGCCTGAAACTATGCCAAAAACACCAGAATTGAGTGATGCAAAGAAAATTAATTTCATATTATAAGCATGGTAAAAAGCAAAACATGTACAATGTACACAAAGTGCAGTGTCTAGAATTATAGCCAAATATAAAGCACAAAGAACTATTTCCAATCAACATAGATGAAGATATCTCTGCATAACTATGGCTCAAGAAGACAGAAATCTCATGAAAATCATTAAAGGAGGACATTTTAAGTCATCCAGAGATATAACTGCTGAATAGAAAACAGCTGGTATGGATGAATCTGAAAAAAATCTCACATGAGGTTAAATGAACATGGTAACAAATCAAGAAAAACAAAGCAGAAACCTTATGTGACTGAGATGTATAATAAAAAGTCTTCAGTGAACAAAAGCCTACCAGAGTTGGGATTTGATGCATTGGAAACAAGTTATGTTCTCTGATGAATCACATATTTCATGGAATATGGAGATAACAATGGCAGCAAAATTTGGAGAAAACCCAATGAAAAGTTTGTCAGAATACCTTGTTTCTAAAACAAAACTTCAAATGGAATTACTGTTTAAAGTGCCATGACAGTAACAGGACCTGGACATTTGGAAATCGTCAACACTACAGTGAATACAAAGCTTTATTTGGAAATTTTATATAATCTTGTGCTAAAAAAGCAGAGAAACACTTTAGTGACTCCAACTTCATCTATGAAGATGACAATGCATCAGGCCACCATGCTAAAACAATACACCAATAGTTTCTAAATAAAAACATTTCACACTTAGATTGGCCACCAAACAGCATGTATTTAAATCCAATAGAGAATTTGTGGAATGTTTTGAAGAAATTGGTTTGAAAAAAAAATTGGCTTCATTGTCTGAATTGAACAGCACTATTCAAATCTGGACAGAAATACCTACAAACTTATATGAAAAGTTAATCACTTCAATCCTGAGATGTATTAAAGTAGTAATAAAGGCCAAAGGCAGTCCCATGCAGAATTAATTTACTTTATTCCATTTATATGTCTCTCTATTATGTTCCATATTTTTGTCTGATGTTATTCAAGTGTTTATGCTGTTTCTTACATTTTTAATATAATTGCTTTCATCTGTTTTTTGTTGTTACTTGCACAAGACTGCAAATAAATTTTGTTAAAAAGAATTAATTATCTAATGTCTGTTTTTTTTTTTTTTTACATTTTAAGTTGAAATGTACACTGCAAAGTGAACATTATTCCATACTTTCGCCCAGGGATTATAATTCTCTTCTGACACTTTTCATTGTAAGTCAGTTTGGTCTTAACTATAAAAATAATGGAAATAAAGAAATATGGTTTCCAAGACCAAGCATAAATCTATGTAATACTTTACATGTATATTGTAATCAGTTATTGTAGGTACATACCATATACAATACAGTGATCTGTTGTATACATTTGTATACATTGGTTTGAAATGTATTGCACTTCCCATCAATGTGTACAACAAATGTTTAGAATTTATTAACACTTTGTATACACTTTGTTAACACTGAGTATTGATGAAGTGATTAACTTATCTTCACCTATATTCATATAAAGTTAACAAGGCCCAAGGCAAAAAAGCCATATGTTACAGCTATGACTCACAGCCTGGCAGAATGCACAGCTACAGAATCTTCCTCCCCTCTTAAAATGCACATTCCACATTGTGCATCAGCTAGTTAAGAATGGCAGAGAATACCAACTTTTACATTATATGGCCTGATTTCCTTTCCATTTCTGTGTTAGACAGGTTCCACTGTATATAGTTCATTTACATTGATTTATACAGAAAATTCAAGGGACAAAGAAATCTGTTAATGACAAGTTTTTGCTATACAGTTCTGTTATAGACAGGTTTGACTGTAGTTTCATCAGGTTACAGGAATGAACAATAGATTATACCAGCAGCAGCAAAGTTGGTCACTTTAGTCATTATAAATCTTCTGAGAGTGTGGACTTGGCTTTGTCACCTGCCTGGATTCTTTATTATTGTCCACTGATATTATCTATAACTACCATATAGAATTAACAGACCTTTTATTGCATGTTACAATGCTAAGCAAAAATGAATGCTTTTATATCTTTTCAGGAGAGAAATACATACATTCAGATAGTTTCCCTTGTTTTTGTTTTTCAACTTGTGGATCATTCATTTATTCAACTTTATAACCTTTCCTAGACGAGTCAGACATCTGGAAACTATCAAATAATAAGCAGTTTAGCAGACATTTTTTGAATAATTTTTACTTGGGTCAGTTGCTCAGTTGGTCATTGTCAACTGTTTCAATCACCTCATCATATCATTCATTTTGCAGACTTATATCTACTGCACAGAATTTTTGAAACCAGCATGTTATGTTATGTTAAACCTCAGTTTTAACTCAAAAATTACAGGTGAAAATAGACTCTCATCTCAACATTCCTCCCATAATAATTTTGTAAACAAATGCAATTTTTATTTGAATTGTTTGATTCCTGTTGTAATAACAGAATTGTTTGTTTATTCCTGTTGATTTATGAATAACGTTTGAGCTTAACATCCGTAACTGTCAATGAGAAGTACACACACACACCATCTGATTTAAAACAATGAGGGTTTTAAAAATCAACAAACATCTCCAAATATCAAATTCAGCATCAAATTAATTGTTGATGTTGATCTTTTACAGCCTGAAAAGATCTATAATTTCATCTAGAAACAGAGGAGGGACCAATTGAGTTGTGAGGAAGAAAGTTTGAAACCAATCAGAATGTAAGATTGAGGGATTAATATATGAAATCATTGTCTCAATAATACAGAGCACTTTTTCAGTTTTTGTCTGGTCCACCATTGTTCTTTGTATGTCACTGACTCCTTTTCTATTTTGTTGGTATGACTAGTGTGTGTATTTATCTGCAGGATTTGACTTTGAAGTCCTTTTCCAAACAATCATGTTCATCACTGGATATCCAGCACCCTCTCTCATTTGGAGATTCATCTAAACTCTCTTCACCAGAATCAGGACAAAGCATCCTTGGAATTTCTCTTTTGGGAATAATTGTAACATTCCAAGTTACAATTATTCCCAAAAGATCTCTCTCTCAATAAATGATATTTTAACAGATTGATGAATCATCTTTCATCCCAAATGCATGCACCCATAAACATGATCTTTTTTCACTTGTGCCACTCACTCATGTCTTTCCAGTTAAAAAAATAAAAAATTTTTGTTCTTCAGTATCTGATTGTGATTATGATCATGTGACCTATACAAATATGGTTAAGTAACATGGCCAACTTTAAAGCCCACTTACATGTTTCTCAAAAAACACTAAATAAAGCTAGTCTGTACAATACACATACAAAATCAGCACTTGTTATCAGACATAACACATTACATACAGATTATTTCATTCCATGAAATAGATTCAACTTTCTCATGGTGTGAATTAACCATTTCATATGAAACAATCTGATAGTTAGAAAAGCATTATAAAATATAAACTACCCATATCTTATTTGTAACTGGAAAATGAATGAAAGTGTTAGTCAAAATTAAACTAAAGTAATATTTTGTCAAAATCTATCAAAAAAATGTTCTCCTTTATGTTTTTCTGCATTAAAATAAGATCCATAAAGTTAGCTATGAAGTATAATTGACTGTCTTAGCCCTATTTGTGTCAACATAAAAAAGTAGAGGAAAAAAAGGCCAAACAGAACATTAAGTGCATATTATCATCACAGACATGACTACAGTTATAGCAGAAAATTCAACTTAATTTGAGTCTTTGCAAAAATCTTATGTACCAAACAACAATAGCATAATTAAGTTGAACAATCATGATATAAAATGCGGAGACAAATGACAGCACTTAATTAGATATCAAGTTTTCAAAAATGTACTTCTGCAAAACCAAAATTTATGATTAGTTTTATCATCTTTAATTACTTCATAAATTAAAAAAATTTGTGTAAAGTATCATTCAAAAATATTTGAAAAAACTAAATTGACTTTCTTACTGAAAAATGTTCAATGAATTTCTCCAAAGCTGTTCTAAGGTAAAAGGAAAGTTAGTTTTGTTGATATGCAAGTTATTCAAACAAAAGTCATTGTTTGAAGGAAATTAGAAAGTGTATTGGAAACTTTACTAATAGAAAAAGACATTATCATCTGTATAACTACATAGAAAAGACAAAGTATGAGTATATTCTAAATGCCTTTGATCTGAGATTCTTACAAAAAACATAACAAACATATTTTAATTACTTAAAAAACAGCACAACCAAATAATATATAATTATATAAAATAATATTTTTCTCATACATCTTATAATAAATTATGTAATTATTTGAACAATTTTACACTTTTGAAATAAAAATAATTAGTATTATACAATGAAATAATTTTCTGAAATTTTTAAACAGAAGTTTGACATTGTATTTTCAACAAAACTTATTCCAGTAATATAAAAATAAAACTTATAAATTTTTTTAGAATGCTGTAATTATACAAAAAAAGATAACATTTGTAATATTTAAACCCATAATATAATTTTATTGAAAGTACAAGATCAATAGCTGTTGACAGATATATTTCATTGAAAAATTGCAAGAGATACAAAAATATTTTTTCATTTAGCTATAATACAGTATATAAATTATTATAAATGATTTACCTTACCCTGAAAAAGACAATATCAAACATACATTCAGGTGTTGGTAAATTGTACTTTTTTAAATTTGCATATAAACCACTTTTTGGACTTCGAAAATCTGGAATTCCAGCAGCTAGACAAATTTTAAAATGATACTTTCAATCAAATTATCTTAAATAACTATAATTAATTATTATTATAATAAAAAGAAACATAAGACGAATACTCTTATTTGATTTATAAAAGCCACAAAAATTATATTATGTTACTGAGTTTAAAAACTATAATAATATAAATTAGTATTAAGAGTTATTAATATATTATGATATATAAAAAATAATGGGTTGAGTCATAAACTGAACTTGTCCCTTAAACTGAGTATTATTATTGGCTATTAGCAAATATTCTCTAAATGTATATTTTAACACTAGTGTCAATAATGTAATAAAATATTGTTTTTTGAATTCATTTAAAATGAAACACTTGAAAGTACATATATGCCATATCATGTTGTGGGATTTTAAACTCCGTAATAACACTGCATAAACAGCAAAATGATTTACAATGTCTACGGCAGTGGAGTAACTTCAGACAGAGTGATTCAAAAGTGGTTTATAAAATTCTGTTCTGGGGATTTGTCCTTAAAAGATGAAGAAAGACCAGGCCTCTTCTCAGACTTTGATGACAATGTTTTAAAGGTCCTCATTAAGAACTCACAGCAAACAGGAGAGTTAGCAGAAAAGCTGCACACATCCCAATCATCCATCAATCATCACCTCCAAAAACTAGGAAAAGTGAGCAAGCTGCAAGTTTCAGTTCTGCATAACCTCAATGTATGAAATAAAGCCAGAAAGAAAGTTGATAGCTGCTACCTTGTTTTCTTGGATAAAGAGGAACCTTTTTTGGCAAAAATTGTTATTGATGATGAAAAGTGGATCATATATGAAAATGTCACTTAAAAAAGATAATAGGTTGAACAAAGATGATTAGCTTCAACTGGACCCCAAGCCCAGTGTGCATGAAAGAAAGATTTTGTTGTGTGTATGATGGGATCATCAAGAAATTATCCATTTTGAGTTGTTGCCATGCAATGAAACTGTTACTGTAAATGTATATGTTCAACAGTTAGAGCAGCTTTGATTAAAACTTCAAGAAAAAAGTTCCGCACTTGTTAACAGAAAAAAATCACCTTATTCAGGGACGTAGCCATGGTGGAGCAGGGTGGGATGCTTGCCCCTTTCCTGGCTCATTTAGTCAAACAAAAATTATAGGTCAATAGGTTATAATAGTATTGCATGGCAAGAAAGCATGTTTGAATCATGGCGGAAAGACGCCATATTATTGGTCAGTGACAGGAGTGCTTTCCAGTGAACGAGTAAGAAATTGGTGGTTCAAGGTCTGGATGGTCTGTGGTAACACTCAAAGATTATAGAATGTTCGAGGTTCAGATTTAGTGGGAAAGTTCTAGTACCTTCTGTTCCGTATTTAAGTGCTTCAATCAGTGTGAGTGAGTCAATTGAGTGAGATGATGCATTTGAGCTTGTTCAGAACATACCGTGAGTGAGGTTTATTTGAAACATTGTTGTGCTCATGTGCAATACTGGATTTCTTACGTTGTTTTTAATAGAAGTGCTGTATTTACTTCTATTGTATGTTGTAAGTGTTTTAATAAATCCATAACCATTTTTTGCACGTTTATTTCATTTTTGGACCGCAATCCTGTAACAATAGCAATCTAAAATGGATATTAGAAACTTTTTTAGCACGAAAGGTATATATCTATATTATTTTCATTTAAGTCAATGAGTTGCAAAACAATCTAATTAAAGCAACCTAAAATCTTCAGGAAATGCAAAGACTGTTTTTTTGTTTGTAATAGTGATTTTGATGTTGTCTTTATTATTGAAATTTTAAAAAAATTCATACAATCTAAATATATAAAATTGCTTGTCCTGACTGACTGAATGACTCACTCATTCAGTCACTGATTCATCATCGCCCAGAGCAGACCGCTTAACCTAAAGAGGTGAAATTTGGTAGACAGTTAGGGTACGTCATGGAAACGCTCACTAAGAAGGGATTTTTTTAAATTCCCTGGTGGGGGGGGAGAGGGAGAGCATTAAGGCTTAACCGGAACAACAGCTTCTACTGTACTATTTTAGATGCGATTTTTTGTTTTTATCTGCATTTTAGTAGGGTATACCATGGCAATGCACACTAAGAAGGAATTTTTTAAAATTCCCCCGCGGGGGAAAAGGATTTAGTCTTCATCGAGTACTTAGGTGTATTAAATTAATAACATTTCAGACATTGTTATAAATATTTTTATATATTTCAATTTTAAAAATGTTCGAACCGTTTTAAATTCGAATTTGTTATTGCATATTCGTATTGTATGCGTTTTAGTAGGGTATGCCATGAGAATGGACACTAAGAAGGGATTTTTCTAAATTCTCCCGCGGGGGGAGAGGGAGAGGATTAAGCTTAACCGGAAGAATGGCTTCTACTGTACTATTTTAGATGCGATTTTTTGTTTTCAACTACGTTTAGTCTTCATCGAGTACTTAGGTGTATTAAATTGATCACATTTCAGACATTGTTTAAATATTTTTATATATTTCAATTTTAAAAATGTTCGAACCGTTTTAAATTCGAATTTGTTATTGCATATTGATTCGATTATAGAACAATTGTAAATGTTTCAGAAAATTGATCAAATTGAAAATAATTCGTTTGATTCTCGGCAATTCTCATCATTCTCAGCGGTAGGTGTTATATAACAATTACTATGGTTGTTGAAATACTGAATATAAATGAGGTTTGCTTGCAAAATCCGCGCAGGCAAAGCCGCGAGTAACAGCTAGTACTAAATAAGGAAATAATAACAAGTATACCACACTCCAATAATTTTAAACAACAACTGAAAATTGTAATTAGCTACTTTTGCAACAGTTTTGCTTAATTAGATGTTTTGAAATGGTTGATTTTGCAACTAGCTACTTCTGCTAGATGCAAATAATAAAACAAATTTGTACAAAATATTCAAGGTATTAAAGGTTTTTTTAAGGTTGAAGTTTCTAGTGTAGAGAGTCCATTCAAAAGCTTAAATTCTTAGTTCTTTTAATTTTTTGAGAAGGATAGTAGTGGTTATTTATTTTCTTTTAGGGAGACAGAAGAGGAAACAACCAGTTAATAGTAGTAGCGAAAGTGATAGTAGTGGAGAAGAGAAATTGAAGCAGAATGTTGGCATTTGCACAACTGCACCTATTGCTGTTTTAAGTGCATCTTCACTACCATCTGATTCTGGTGCACAGGATCAAACGTATTTTGATAATGATGTGGATAATGATGGCTTGGACATTCGTTTAGTATGACCACATCCCAAAAAATGGAAGTTTTAAAAAACTGTTGGTCACAAACTCCAAGTTACGACTTTGCTAAGGATGCTATGCAATTAAAATGAAAATTCAAATACAGCTGTTGGCAGATTATGCTCCTGGCATATTCCAAGAAATTAAAGGACGCATTGTGCATTTACTGTGTGTTGTTTCCACCAACTAATGTGCATGGTGTTTTGGGTTCTTTCATAGTGAGACCCTTTACTCGCTATAAGGACATGCACGAATTTGTGAAATCTCACACATCACTGCAGTGGTACAAATTGGCCGCCACAGCAGCAAAATGTTTTGTTGAAAATATACTCATTGATATACAGCTGATTTCTGTCCACCAACAAGAAAATTGTTGCATCAATAATTTTGACTGTGATGTTTTGTGATACACATAACCTATCTTTGAGGAGCAAAGAACATCATGAAGGTGTTTTTGAAGACTTGATCAAACTCAAAATTGATGCTGGTGACCACATTTTAAAACAGCATATAGAAAAGGGAGCAAAAAATGCCACTTATATGTCACCACAGATTCAAAATGAAATAATCAGCCTATGTGGTGACATCATTAGAGACGACATCACTACTGATGTAAAGAAAGCATGTACTTACAATATCCTGACAGACGAGAGCAGTGACATATCAGGAAAAGAGCAACTTTCCATTCACAGGGTTAGATTTTTTGACGAAGAAAAGATGATTGTTCGTGAGGAATTTCTAGGTTTTGTAGAGTTGACTGACATGGATGCAAAATCTGTAACATCTTCAATTAACAACTTTGTAGAAAAGGTATGCCTTGATCCAGAAAAGTGCATCTGACAAAAATATGATGGGTGTTCTACTATGGCAGGAAATGATGGTGGTGTCCAGAAAATTCTTTGATAAAGTATATGAGAGCATTATACTTTCACTATGCTAGCCACAAACTGAACTTAGTTGTAAATGTCTTAAATGAAATAGCAGTGATATGAAATATAGTCTTCACAATAAAAGAAATAATGAGATTCTTCCGAGAATAGGCCCTTTGTCAAAAATGCATACCGAATATACCAATGCCCTGTGAAACACATTGGTCTCAAAAATATAAAAGTATCGCCACATTAAAGGAACATTATGTGCAAATCATTATGGTGCTTGAAAAACTATCAACAGATGGTAACAATGCAATGAGAAAAGCTGCTTTTCAAATGCATTGTGCTGCTACAAAATCAGAATTCATTGTTAGTGTTTGTTGCATAGCAAAATATTCAGCACTCCTGCAACTGGTGGTAAATGCTCTTCAGTCAAAAAGTGTGGACTTACTTCAATGTGCAAATCGCATAAAAAAATCACAGACATCATGAGAAAACACCGTGGAAATGCAGTTGTTGAAAGTCAAAGTGTTATAGCAGAGGCTGAAATAATCGCCGAGCATCTTGGAACAGATTTCAATAAACCACGAGTAATAAATCTTCAGAAACATCATGCTAATCCACCAGCACATACTCCTAGCAAGTTTTAGAGATCACTAATTATTCCGTACATAGATTCATTAATAATGTATCTGGAACAGTGTTTTTCTAAGGAGAACTAGTCCACTTTCTCATTGCTTACATCGTAGCCTCACGTAATGCTTGATATGACATATGAGGCTTTTTAAAAAAACTATAATTATTTGTAGTTACTACAATTTGAATGATTTCCTCAGTGAAGCTGAATTTTGGTACAACCAATGGAAAGAAAAGAAATGTGCCAAATTCTGAACTGAAGGAGATAGAACTAGGTGCACTAGTTACAGAAATGCAATTGTTCTACCCATCCATAAAACAGGCACTATGTATCTCACTTGCACAGCCCTGCACAACGTGCTCTATCGACAGATCCTTTAGCACCTTACGCAGGGTAAAAACTTTGATTTTGTCAACAATGACAGAAAATTGGCTTGTTGGTCTTTGTATGATGAGTGTGCATAAAAAAGGTTCTGGAGGCTAAAATATAAATTTGAGGAAGAAATTTTGACAAGATTTAGTCAGAACTCCCATAGGCTAGTGCTGAAATAAGATTTAGATAGGTTCAAATAGCATTGCAACTAATTACTTTTAGCATTTTCAAATGTTCAAATAAAACCATTTTTTTAATAAACAACATTATCTTATTTTTGCCCCCTGAAGAAAATCCTGACTATGCCCTTGACCTTATTGCATGACAATGCTAGGTCGCACACAGCAAAGATTACACAATAAAAAATTTTGGACTTTGGCTGGTCTGTTTTGCCTCATCCACCATATTCACCGGACCTGGCATCAAAAGATTTTCATTTTTTCTAGACACTGCAGCATTCTTTACAAGGGAAACATTTCCAAAATGATGACCAGGTTCAGGAGTTTGTCCAGGAGTTTTTTGATTCAAAGCTACCAGCATATTATAATTTTGACAGGTTGTCCAAAAAATTACTATGAATATGTATTAGATTAAAGTCTATTGTTGTACATTTTATTGGCAAATAAATTTCAGTTTAGAAAACCAAACTCATTTATAACTCAACCCTATACATACACACACACACAATTGTTATGTAAGATGTTTCATTTATTTAACAATAAAATTCATTCTGTATTTACTGTATTCTGTGTAAACATTCTGTAATTTTTATTAATGCATTTACTATGTACTATGTTATTTCTCAGATGTACAGAAGACTACACTGGTAGAAACAAACTTTTTACTTGGCAAAGCCATTCAAATTACATTGACATATTTACTATCATTGAAAAACATATCTTTTGAACAGAATTCAACCATTAGTGATTCCTTATTCATTGATCCAAAGTGATTAAAGAATAACTAGCAAGTGACATGATATCACATCATTCATAGATATATTGCATATCCATACTTAGCATTGAATATAAATATTTTCAATATTTCCTGATTTCTTATTTAAAATACTCTTATATAAATTATTTTTACAATGTAATTATGTAAAATGAAATAACGTATTTATATGTATTGTATATAATTTTTATTTAATAAAAATCAAATGATTTTAAATTTTAAACTTATTTTATATTAAAAACAAAAATAAGATATCATTAATTAATTAAAGTTAAAAAAAATCATTAAATCAATGTTAGCAGGAAATTATTTATAGTTGCACATATTTATATTGCTTGAATAGTAAATTACCCAATTTATAAATAATAACTTATTTAATCATTATTATTTGAAAAGATTTATATAAAAAATATTTTGGAAAATTTCTTGGAAAATATTTAAACTTTAAAAAATAAATATATTTTTTTTCAATTTAATTTAATTTGAAACTTGTTTTAAATTTAAATATTTTAAATTCATTCTGTCATTTTAGGAATTATTTTTAAGAAATTATTCATCATTTGTGATAGAACATTACTTCAAAAAATATCTCATAAAAGCAATCTAAAATAATAGCGAAAGCATCTGTTATTTTCAGTGTAAGATAATTCCTTTAAAAATTTTAATTAATTTAAATAATTTTAAAATTATCATCATCATTCCTTAATGTGAACACAATATACTATCTGTTATCTGGTTTTGTAACTACAGTAGAGCATTGATTATCCTAATATCGATCAACCGAAAGCTTTCCAGTCGACAAATTTAAATTTCCACTAGTGCTGTGGCACTGCAATCTTTGGCTATGTCTTGGGCTACTCCAATATTATTTTTGTTGGTGTGGTGTTTTAGCTGGCAGGACTGGCGCGACCATGAGAGGGTACATAAGGACGTGCCAGGATTTGAACGAATTTCAACATGGAATAGGTTAATATATTTTTTTGTACAACCCCAGTCCCCAATTGATTTGGATAATGAATGCTCTACTGTACTTTAGTAGCTAGTAATATGAAATTTTTATAAGTTAAAATATAATTTTTATCTTCATTTTTTACTTTATATTTCATTAATTTTATTCTAGCTATTTCATACTGCTCACAAAATTTTATTTTTAAAAATAAATTTTAATATAAATGCCATTAAAATAATTACTTTTGATACAAGGTGTTTTAAATTTTAATGTAAATTTAAAGAAAGAAAGTAAATAATTTGTAAAAAAAAATTAGGTAAATTTTCAAATTTAATAATATTTAATTAAAAAAATTAAATAGTTTTATTTCAACTATTTTAAGTTGAAATAAGATATTCAAAACACTAATTTATAATAAGTGAATATATAAAAATCTTACATGTGGAAATTCCAGCTCCAACCATAACAATTATATTTTTACCTATAAAAATGAAAAAAATATGTCTTTATTAATAATTATTTGCACTTAGACATAATCAACAGAAAATAATAAATTGTTTGCTAGCAATTTAAAACAACTCTAATACTTAGAAATTTGAAAGGTGTTTTGCTATTATAATAATAGTAAAATACCTTTGCAAATTTCTTTTAAAGATATTATAGTACTTGTACTTTGTTATAGTTCTTCTTTGCAGTCTTTTAAAGCTAAGTTTATAATTAATCAACAAAACCTGAAATAGAACTAAATCATAAATGACAAAATATTTTAAGAAATAAAATTAGAAATGGAAGACTATTGTACAAATCTATCCATAAAGATACCATTATCAAGATTTTAACTTTGAACACCATTTTCAATCTATCATTATCATTATTAATTTCCACTAAAGAAAATCAAAAATTTGTCCAGATAAGTATTAAATAGAGGGAATGATAATAGTCTGTTTTTGCATAATGATTCAAAACTTTTCATATCTATTTCTTGAAATGGAGATATAACCAAAAAAAATTTTTTTAAACCAAGTTTTTGAAATCTTACATTCAGTTCAGTGTTTAAAGTTTCAACCAATTGTAATTTTATTTTTTATATTTATTTGAATTTTTCTGTTAGACATCATATTTATAAAACTATTTAAAGAAAGAAAAATCAAAGAATGATCATCTTCAGCTTGATGTATAAGATCACTTGAGATATTTTAAGGTTTATCAATTATCAAATTAGTTGCTTATAGTTGCTTATTTATGGAACTAAACCTTAGTAAAGTCTTTTAAAGATAAGATTAAGCAACATATAACATTATTTTCTAATTTTTCCATTAAATTTTTACAATTATATTCAAATACACTTAAAACATTTTCACAGTTCACAGAGATAAAACAGTTCATTAAAACTTCTAAAACTATCTTATGCAATTATAAGTAATGCATTATACTTTTCATTATTATTCTTGCATAATGTAGAAAATTTATTTAGTAACACACTACTTGTACTTTTCATTATTATTCTTGCATAATGTAGAAAATTTATTTAGTAACACACTACTTGTGTTGACTGCATTTAGAACTCTTCAAATTATCAGTTCCATATCATCCATGACCTTCCTTATTGTTTTGCTGGTGAGCATGTCTTGATAAACAACACAATGTAAGCAAAACATTTCATTGTGATAGCTTTTATTAAACAAATTTAGTACACCAGTTCTTTCATTTTTTGTTACTACTGCTTACTATCAGCAGTTGCAGCACATTATCTGTGGAAACATTTAGTTTTTTTAAATCTTTAATTACATTATAAATATTCACTGCTTTGGGACATTCTTTTAATGAAATGAGACATAAGAACTTTTCAACAGATTTAGTGCTATCAGTATCAAAGTATCTTGCAGAAGTGACTAGTTTTTATTACATCATTACTTTCACCTAAGCATAAACTACAAAAAAGGATTTTTATTCATTGATTCACTTAAACATAACCCATAAACATAATTAATTCCTAATTTGTCATTAAACTAAATCACTATTGAGAGCATATTTCTAAACATTTTGTTTTCAGGCTCTATGAACAAAATTATTTACCAATTGTTACCAGAATCATCAATCTTTGAGAGTGGCTTAGAGAATGACTGCCAAATATTGATGATGATGTTCACTGTTATCAACCAACTGATCACAGTGGCGTAGCATAGTAGGGGCGGCAGGAGCAGCCCGCCTCGGGCGGCAAAATTTCACAATAAATAATAATAATATCTTGTAAAAGTTTGAACTATTTTATCCCATATTTACATCCCACCTGCAATTTGGACCAATTGAAATGAGCACGGAATGGTCCGGGAATTGACTCAACGTGCAGGTGAACTATTAATTTCACCCGGGGATGCAGTGCGCAACCTGTCGACCTTTTTTTTTTATTATTTTTTTTTTTATATTTTGCTTGTACAATTTATTTGTATTCATATACACCTCCAATATCCAATGGAGCTATTTTAAACAAGTGGCTACACTGGCAAGTAAATTTTCATTACTTGTTCTGATACGAAACTGAATTTTAGTCTTTTAAATTGAGATACCTAAATAATGGAACGGCGAAATTTTCCTCCACCCTGGGCGGCTGACACCCACGCTACTCTGCTGACTGATCAGTAAGCATTTCCAAACAGACTCTTATACAGTATGTATAAGACTAACATAATATTTAGTATGAAAGACTAACATAATATTTAGTATGAGAAAAAATTTAAAATCATAATTAAATTTCTTTACACCTATGTAACTTTAATATAACTTTTATGTATTGAAAATGACTACAGTAGAGCATCCTTTATCCAAATCAATTGGAGACTGGGGTTGTTCAGATAACTTATTTTTTTGAATAACCAATTATGTATGAAAAAATATATTAACCCATCCTATCCTGAAATTTTTCTCCATTGCGTGTCGCTTTGTGTTGAATTTTCATCGATGTTAAGCCTAACATAAACTTTTTAAAATAATAATCGTAGCTATTGTATCGTTAAAAATTATTTCTTTATTTTGTACAAACAAAATAAATATATTGAAAAATATAAAAACAATAAAAAGTTATACTTCAGAAGTTAATTTAGTATCAAAAACGTAAAATATTTGAGTAGCCC